TGATTTGATATGATATAATACAAAGCATTTTTTTGCTTACGCGCGTTCATATTTACAGATCGATTTTATAAGAAAGAGATTATTATTGAATTGAATGAATAAGAAACTTTTTTCTTTATACATTATTATGAGCGCAGCTTTTTAAATCCTGAATGAATGTATATGATTTTATTCATTTTATACAAAGATTCGACCATTACGTAACCTTTTAAATCGAAAGGAAAGAAAAAAAATGAATTAAATATGAGTAAGGCATTTAGTTGATTCATGTGGTTATTTTCGCGGGCATGATAAAGGTAGTATTAAAAAATTTGAAATATAGTGGTGGAATAAAAGGAGATAAGAAATAAGGTAGGTGTATATTTTTAACTCAATATATATTTTTCTTAAATTTGAAGACAAAAATAAAAAAACTTTATATAAAAAAAAAAAAAAAAACGTCAACCCGTCATTTCGCCTTCGCCATGATGGTAAAAATAGATTTTTTTTTTATTAAAGTTTAAAAAATAGTACTGATCTGCAGAATCGATTTATAAGATGAACCGTCCTAATGGTTATCAAAGATATCTATTAATCTAAATATCTAAATTTACGATTACGATATAATGACGCGTCGCGTATCCATCTAATCGCGTATCCATCTAATCCACATATAATGTTTGTTGTGTTGTATAACTAATCTTGTCAAAAAAAAAAGATAAAATTCAAATATATTATAAATTAATTTTTTATATACTATATTACAATAAATTTTTGCTCGATATATTAAATAATCGAGAATTTTATAAAAGGTATTGAGAATCCAAATTTTCTTTTTTCAAAAATAGTTTCTGGATGATATTAATAATAATGGTATTATAGAGAATTATGAAAAATTATCGTACTAAAAATATTAAGATAAAATAATTGCTATTGGTGGTTGATCGAATCTTACCAATTTTATCATATCGTACCATGTTATTATGTATGTTCACCTGTTAAATCTTCAGAAACTTTTCTTTAAAAAGAAAATATTGGCGTAATAATCTTTTCGGATTTGTCCGGGCCGAATAGTAATGTTCCCTCATGCAAATTTAAAACCGAATTTTGCATATCATTTACTAATTGGCACTTGCATAAATACTCATTTGTTAATCAGAAATAGATCGACCTGGTCTGGATCAAATCAATTTCTGTTGTAATAAAGAATTAGTTTAAAGTATAGAATAATACATTGTGAAGTTTTAGAAGGTGAATCCATATTCAATCAATAACTATGATTTTTGAATCATATGTTGTCAGTAAAATCAATAGTAAATCATATTATCCGGATTTCCTACCTACAATATATTTTGCATTAAATGTTTAACATTTAAAAATCCAACGTCAAAAAATTTAGATATTTTGAATACAAATGCATTCTTGAGCAAGAGGACAAAGAATTCATTTGATAAATAGTTCACAATATAACAAAAAAATAAAATAAAAATAAAATAAAATAGACGAATTTGCAAATTTTTTAACGAATTACAAGATTAAAAGTTACATGTGAAGTAGTGTAGTGTTTATTATCAACTTAAATGTAAACATACGCCATGAGTATTCAATAAATATAAACATTACGTTAATTAGTATTCAATTAATATAAACGTTACCTAAATGATCATTCAATCGAAGGGATTCTTTATAATGGATTTTCTTATTTAAGTTGACCAAATTTGATTTTGGATTTAATAAGCTTTCATCTTTTATTAAACAATAATATAAATGGTTAAATCGTACACACTATAAAAAAAATTTTAATTAAAATAAAATCAATAATTTCTTTAATCATAGTTTCATATTCAATGGAGGAAATTCTTAGTGATGGTGTAATTAGACAAATAAAAGATTTAGTTCATTGTAGAGATTTAACTGATGAGGTCAAATTGAAAGTTGTTGAACTGATATCAAGTGAGTTGTTGAAAATACGTTTTATAAACTTTAGTCTATGTGAAGAGTGCTGGCAGCCCAATTCTGGCGGCAACCTACCGAAGTGGTGTCAGTCATGTAATGCAAAACAATTTAAAAAAAATTTCAAAAGATGGACCAGTGGAAATGATGAAATCGATGAGTTTATTAGAAATAAACAATTAAATGCAAAGCATCATTCTGATGTAGTAGAATGGATTGAGCTCGATAGATTTGAAAATCTTGAATTTATCGCCGAGGGAGGTTTTAGTAAGACTTATAAAGCTATTTGGAAGGATGGAAATATAGAAAATTTTGATTTCAAAAATAATCAATGGAAAAGAACATATGAAGGTTGTTTTGTTACTTTAAAATTCCTGCATAATTCAAAAAATATCGCAACTGAGTTTTTAAGAGAGGTAAGTTAAATTTTCAATTAAAAAAAAAAAAATATTATTATAAGTAATTTGTCAAATTTTTTCAGATTGAATCGCATATTATGATGAATAATTCAGCTTGTGTAATTCGCTGCTATGGCATCTCTAGAAATCCAAAAACAGAAGAATTTATAATGGTAATGGATTATGCAGAAAACGGTAATTTAAGGCATTATTTAAGTAAAAATTTTAATTTATTAGGTTGGGTAGATAAATTGTTTATGTTAATTGATCTCGCAAAATGTTTCAATAATATTCATGATAATGATTTAATTCACGGTGATTTTCATCCTGGTAATGTCTTAGTAAGTAATTTATTCTTTATCACCGATATGGGATTATGCAAACACGCAAATCAAAAACTCACACAAAATAACGAAGGAAAATTATACGGTGTGTTACCATATGTGGCTCCGGAAGTTTTGCGTGGAAAAGATCATACTCAAGCAAGTGATATTTATGGATTTGGAATTATAGCATTGGAAGTAATTACAGGATTATCTCCTTATTATAATATAGCACATGATGAATACTTGGCCATAAAAATCTGTCAAGGATTAAGACCGATATCTAAATATCAAATTCCACAATTACTTTCAGATATAATCAATCAATGTTTGGATGCAAATCCTTTAAACCGTCCCAAATCACATACATTATCTATTTTATTAAGCAACCTCAAAGATACTTATTTTGATGAAAATTCATTATTTCATAAGCAAATTAAAGATGTGGATGAAATTAATAAACGCTATTCTGAATTCACATCATGGTCTTCTATTGGCTGTCCGACTCACTCTCAAGCAATTTATACAAGTAGATCTTTAGATTATAAAAATTTACCAAAAAATGATTGCTCTGGTAAGAATTGCTTTTTTTTAAAAGTGAAATTTATCTATTTAGAATCAGATTTATTTATTTATTTATTGCTATAGAATATTTAAATATTGATTATAATTTACTAAAAAAAAAGGTATTTATTTAATTCTTTTTAAACTTATGCCTTTAACATTAATAACTAATTCTACTTGCATTTTTAATTAGGCAAATTAAATTTTATATTATGATGAAAGTCATCCTATTTTTTTAATTATACTATATATATGTTAAAAAAAAAATAAAGAATATAGAATATTAGAAAATTAGAAAATTATATAATTACAATAAATTACTAATATTAATATAATTAAATTATGCATGTAATTAAATGAATATAATAGTTGAGAATTAACAAATATATTTTATAATTCCTTAAAGTTATAGCTAATGAAATCTATTTTATATTTTATATTAAAATTATATTTATCAATAAATCAAAAACTGAAATATTTTTAAATCTCTTAATATTTATTAAATTAAAATCTTCAAATTAAATTACTTTAATTTATAAATCAGAATTTATTTTTTGTAAAAATACTAATAAAAATATAAAGATTATAATATTGAAATATTTTATATGTTTAATTCAAAAAATTTAATTTTTTATTAGCTATAAGATTAAAGATTCAAAAAATTAGTTAAAATCAAAAAAATAGAATATGTAAAAAATACAAAATAGTGATAACATAGCAATAAAATTATATAGTAGTAAATATAATATATTAAAATAATTGTCATTATGCAGTTATTATTGTGATAGAGTTTAAATACAGTTACTGTAAGAGTAGAGTCAATGTCAATCATTTTTATGATTAATTTATTTGAGTAACAAAATATAATCTTTATAATTTTAGCAGAAATTATGAAATTATGAAATTATATTTATTATTTGATGAAATAATTCCATGTTTGCATATTAACATTTGCTTATGTATTAAAAGTCATACTAATTATGGATAACTAATACTACCTTTAAAAAGATATCATAAAATAATTTTTATTAAACTAAACTATAAATATCTAAATTCATTAATGTAAAATCTAATTCTTTAGTTTTTAGTATCTTTCTTTTTTCAGTTAAAAACTAGCAGTCACCGTTGCTTCACACTGAAATTAGCAAGTTTGTTTAAATTAATAAATCAATATATTAACGCATATAAAAAGAAAATTCTGATTTATGTTTAAAATTTTAAGTTTTAATTATATTTATTAATAGAATATAAACAAATTGTATTTATAATTATATAGATTTATAATATTAAAAAAATTTGAATTATGATATTTATAATATATTGTTAAATATTTTGAAAATTTTCATTATATACAATATTTTTAGTTTGACAGTTATTTTGATTATTGTGTAATATGAGGATTTTAATCAACTGATATAATATAATTCTTGATAAGATAACATATAGCTGACTATGTGAGAAAACTGGTTGTGGTAAATAAAGTTCTGTTTTGCTTAATGTTTGACCCTGTAATCTGTTTATTGTTATTGAAAATGCAACACGTACTGGAAATTGCAATCGCTTTAAAGTAAAGAGTAAACTATTATCTGAAGGACTTAATGTAATTTGTGGTATAAAGATTTGTTTACCAATATGAGAACCTGTAATAATTTCTGCATTTATTATTTTACTTTAAAGATCACGAATGATTAGCCTAATACCATTGCAAAGTCTTTCTGATGGATTTAAGTTTTGTAAAAGTATTATTAGAACTCCTATTTTTTATTTTAATTCACCAGGAGGAAGGTCAGATATCTTTAAGGATTTCAAAAACTCAAGTGAATATATTTGAGATTATTGTCTATAAATATTTTCTGTTGAATCTATAGAATAATACTTAGATATATTTTGGTTTTACTTGTTAATCTGTTTATTATTATATCTGAAATTATATTAACATCAATATTTTTAGGAGTTAAAATTGCTCTGCCAACCATATAATCAATACTTCCAGAATTTTCAGCCAAATTTGGATAAACAAAATCTATAAGATCTGTTAAATTATTTTTATATATAATCATATCTATAGGAAGAGTTATTATATTCTCTGTGTTTTGGTTAATTGGATATTTATCATCTCCAATTTTTAAAAGAAACTCAGCAAATTCTTTTTGTTTTAAGTTATTATTTTAAGAATTATGAGATTGTTGAAGTCTCATATTAGTTGTTAATCTTACAATTTTTAAATATTTTCATATATATGATTTACTTAAACTTGCAGAAATAATATCAGCTTGTGATGCATTTGGTATTACAGGTAAAATTTGATAAAAATCTCCTCTAAAAATAAAGATTTTTCCTCTAAATGGTTTATTTACCTGTGTAATATCATGAAGTGTTCTGTCAATAGCTTTAAATGCAAATTTATGCATCATTGGAGTTTCATCTCCAAATAAAAAGCTTTGCTATATAAGTTAAATGGGCTTCTTTACTTCCATGTAAGATATTGCATGTTGTGGTTTCATTTAATTTAATTGGAATTTTAAAGCGAAAGTGTGCAGTTCTACTACCATCTATTAAGAGTGTAGCAATTCCAAATGAAGCTACAGGTAATGCAATTTTACCATGTGATCTGATTTTTGCAAGTATAGTGTTATAAAAAAATGTTTTATCAATACCACCTGGTCTATCAACAAAAAAACATTCTGATAAATTATGTTCAATTGCTTGTACATCTGGAATTTAAATGCGGCGTAATATTCTGTAGATTTACGATTTTTGTAATATTTCAGAGTATTACGTTGTAA